AGAGAGAGAGAGAGAGAGAGAGAGAGAGAGAGAGAGAGAGAGAGAGAGACAGAGAGAGTGAATGGCAAAATTGAAATATGGGTCTGGTAGAACTGGGACTTTTGAAAAAACGAAGGACCGGTCCTCGAGTAGAAGTGGACCCCAAAAAGAAGTGGCGGGCATTGGACCGGTCCTCGGGTAGAAGCGGACCCCAAAAAGAAGTGAGATTGGACCGGTCCTCGGGTAGAAACGGACCCCAAAAAGAAGTGAGGGCATGTGAACTGCAAAAGGGCCCTCAGGCCCAGGCGTTGAGCCCCGTTTTCTCAAAACAGGGAGGTCAGGCTTAACGAAACAGACGTTTTGCAAGAGGCAACTTTGGCGATTTTCTGTGCTCAGACCAACATGCACAAAAATCTGAAATTTTGAGAATCCATAGATGAGGTTGTGTTCTTTCCAGAAATAATAATAAAACATTTACAAAAAATCATTTAGACTGCGAAATAATCGTCACGCCAATTCAGCACATTTTCCATTTTTGCCACTCGGCCATGCTTGGGCCAACTAAAAAGTACTTCAAATTCAACGAGTTTTCGCACTCAGAAGAATGCGTGAAAAAACCTAAAAATTGGAGTACTCGTAGATTTTGTTTTGATTTTTCCAGGAAAAACGCTACATAAATTAAAAAAAATCATTCCAACTGCGGTCTACTGGGTTCGGCGTCTGTGTCAAGGTGTCGCATTTTTGGCGGTGGGCGACCAGGACCCAAAGTGGATTCTTAGGGGGCAAAAAAAATTGGGAAACCGGTCCTTGTCAAAATTGCGGACTACCTACAACTAGCTCTGGTAGAACCGGGACTTTTGGAAAAACGAAGGACCGGTCCTCGGGTGGAATTGGACCCCAAAAAGAAGTGGTGATGGGGTAAGGGCCCTCAGGCCCAGATGTTGAGACCCGTCTTCTCAAAACAGGGATGTCAGGCGCAACGAAACAGGCGTTTTGCAAGAGGCACCTTTGGCGATTTTCTGTGCTCGGAGGAACCCGCAGAAAAATCTGAAATTTTGAGAATTCATATATGAGGTCGTGTTCTTTGTAGAAAAAATATTAGAACATTTTTAAAAACTCATTTACACCGAGAAATAATTGTCGCGCCGATTCGGCACATTTTCTATTTTTTCCACTCAACCATGTGTGGGCCAACTTAAAAAGTACTCTAAATTCAGTGAGTTTCACTCTCAGAAGAATGTGTGAAAATACCTGAAATTGGAGTACTCATAAATTTTGTTGTAATCTTTCCAGGAAAATGCTAAATAAATTTAAAAAAATCATTCCAACTGCGAAATAGATCGCGACCGCAATTTGCCATTCAGCCTCTCTCTCTCTCTCTCTCTCTCTCTCTCTCTCTCTCTCTCTCTCTCTCTCTCTCTCTCTCTCT